AGATTCCTGAAGCTACTGACATGGATATTGATATGGACGGTATTGTAGAGAGCTTCAATCGGAAAAGTATCGGTGAGTTTCAAATACTTCTTTTCTTGATCTTCTCGCATAGCTGTAAAAATCATCTTTCTTTCTCAGGTCCGACAAACACGGGTGGTACTGTGACTGTGGATGACATTCTGGCGAAGCTGAAGTCTTAGTGAGTGTCTTGATTTTTTTTCTAACAAAAAATCCACCCTTCGATGGTTTTCAATGTTGAGAAAATCTATTTCCAGTGTTGTTGATCGCGAGGAAAGATTGAATGCAAGGAGGTATGAAGTTACGAAGATTGAACAAACCATCGAAGAGAATAAGGAAACAATGAAAAAGGTTTGATCTGTTTCCACCATTCAGTTAGACTCTTCGACTAATAGTTTTTTCAAGATTGAAAGCGATATGCCCGCCTTGGCGAACAAATATACCATGTACCAGGAACTACGTCTCTACTCGAGGAGCCTCTTAGAGTGCTTGAACGAGAAGGTATTTGCTCTTTTGCAGTAATTGCTTGCTGCAGACCAATAGGAAGATTTTAGGTGGCTGAAATCAACGAACTTGGCGATAAGCGACAAAATCTAGCAAAGGCCAAAATGGAACGATTAGCTAGACGTCGTAGACGTGATATACGTGATGCTTACAATGACTGCGTTTCTGCTGCAGCGGGCAAGAATCCTTCGCTGTTGAGAACGCCGGATGTAATGATACGCGTAGCTGAAAGGGATGCGAGAAGGTCGGTGGTGAAACTTGTAATTTTTTTCTCATCTAAATTTTCTTTTCTGAATTCTAATCTCAACCATTGCTCATAAGCATTAGTTATTCAATTTCTTATCTTTTTTTTTGTTGCGAGTGGTAAAAACTATCTTTAAACCTCTTCACATTGAAGTATAGAGCTGAACATCTGTTCGCTACTGATTGGCTCTAGCAGACCTTCATTCCGAAGCCATTAATGTGTGTACTTTGAGCTACCATTCCAGAGCGAGACGACGTAGAGAACGAGAGGGCACTCTTACTGGTATTTCGCACGAAGAAGGACTTAGCAGCGATGATGACGAACCAACTAGCCAGCAACTTGCTGACCAGGAAGCAGCAAGTGAGTTACAGCGACTTTTTTTCGGTATTTCCTTAGATGATTATGCAACGATAATCAAGCTTTTGTATTCTGCTCGATCCTTTGGCAAAAAATGTGCATCTTTATAATTTACATATTCAGCTGAGATTGATACGGCACTTCGCATGGTATTTGTCGACGCCTTGGACGATTATGCTCGATTGAGGAAAGTGCTAGACAGGTGAATAAACATGGCTTTTAGTTTTTTTTT